TTTTTTTTTTTTTTTTTTGCACAGCAAAAGGTATTTAATTATATAGAGTACAAGGGGTACTCCTACCCATAATACACAACAAGGAAAATATTGAGCATCAACTGACTCTGACTTAATTGCAAGTAGAGTCAATTAGTTGCTCAATGCTTTCTATGAAGTTACAGAGAGAATAAATCCATCAATAACCACAAAACATTGAAAATTATCCTACCAAGCCTATCACAAGATTCTAATTCCTTCTACCTGCCGCATTTGCTAATAAGGTAATCAAGAAGCCATTCCATTCCATCCGGCTTTACCTTTGATGGCTTTCCTACTTTTACAACTATCCTTTATGCAAACAACAGGATTAAGAAGCCAATCAGAAAGAGTGAAGGCATACCTGTCATTTCTTGCTTTAATCCATAAGAAAGACCTTAGTTGAATTGATTCAAACAGCTTCCCCGCATTTATCTCTTTGTGCTGGAATAATTTTTGATTGCGAGCAAGCCACACTGTCCACACCACCGTACTCCAGATGCAATCCCATCCTTGTCTTATTCGAGTTCCTTTACACCACTCTCCAAAATTTTCAAAAGTCTTCACACAGTCGATGTCGAGTTTTACCTTGGCCCCCCACCATTTGGCACATGCCTCCCACAGCCCTCGGGACAGCCTGCACCTCAAGAATAGATGAGCAGAGACCTCCTCATGTTCTTCACATACAACGCACTTGCTCTCCTCTCTATCTTTAATAATCCCCCTTTTCAGCAAGTTCACCTTGGTTGGTATTCTGTCCAACATTAATTGCCAATTAAATGTTGAAACTTTGGTTGGGAGGCTTGGGTTCCATACTCTTTTGAATATTGTATGTCCACCTGGTCCGTTTTGATCCGAAGCTAATATGTGGTAGGCTGATTGTGTTGAATACAGACCCCCCTTATCGTGAATCCATTCCCATTTGTCGGCCCGACCTTGACTAACCTTCACGCCTTCTATCATCCTTTCAAGATCCACGACCTCTTCAGCTTCCCATTCGAATAGATTTCTTCTCCAATTTAGCTTCCATTCCCATGATCCACTCCTTGCGATGCCCATTTGGTTGCATGAATTCTCCTTCCCTATTGACAGAAGATATAGCCTAGGAAAATTGTTAGCAAGGCAACCCTCCCCTCCCCAATTATCCCACCAAAAGCTAGCTGATTTTCCATCCCCAATTTTCATTCTAAAACCCTCCGACAGCCAATCTACACTCTCCTCGTTCACACTATTAAGGCAGCAAACATCCCTCCACCATAAGGATCCCCCTCCATTGTTTTCTCTAATCCAGTCCATCCAGTGCTTCCCGACCTTTCCATATTTTGCTGCAATTACTTTCATCCATAGTCCCTCATCTACTTTTGCTAACCGACCCCACCATTTCCCCATTAGTGCCAAATTGAACTTTCTCAAATCTCTCACTCCCAACCCTCCCATTTCTTTACTTTTACATACATCTCCCCAATTTACCCAATTTATTTTCCTCTCCTCTGCCCCCCCACCCCATAAAAATCGTCTACGAATTTTATCAATTGCAAGGAGTGTACCTTTTGGGATTAAATAGGCTGACATTAGGAACACGGGCAGAGAAGACAACATTGAGTTTATGAGCGTGATACGACCTCCCATAGAAAGGAAACGGCCCTTCCAGCTAGCTAGTTTCTTCTCAACTGATTGTACCAATGATTGCCACATTGATTTCCTTCTGATATTCCCCCCTACTGGAATTCCCAGGTATTTAAATGGGAGTTCCCCTTCTTTGCAGTGCAATCTACAAGCCATTTCTGATAGCCAACTCTCCGTTACTCCCACCCCCATTAAATGGCTTTTTCCGAAGTTGATCTTTAGTCCTGAAGCCATTTCGAAAGTCCTCATAATAGCCTTCACCGCTCTTATGTTATCTTCTGAAGCTAGTTTGGCTTTGTTGTTTGATCATTGTTGAATTAGTATGGATTTGAGTACTCCTCATACTTCATTTCTTAATAAAAATCTTATTTCGTTGATTTAGAAAAAAAAAAATTGTCAATTAAAACCCTAAGTTTAGTTAAGCTAATTAACACATGAATCATGCATTTCATGTCATTTTCCCATATATGTTATGTTTAATTATATAGTATGTAGCCAACAACTTTAGTAATTTAGTGATTATCTCCTTTCACTGAAAGTAAGAGATTCTGAGTTCAAGTCGTATGATATGTGGATAAAATGGGTAAGGGATGAGAAATTATTGCCTCTCATTATACAATCAAAATAAAATATATATATATATATATATAGAATGTATATATGCACATACAGGAAGCATATTTTTTGTTATCATGTATGACAACATGAATTGAGTTGGAAGACATGTAAGGAGCCAACATGAATGCATTCATCATGCCTTTAATTGGTCAAATCGGACCATCCAATCCAATTGCCTATTGGGTCCAATTTAGTACTAATCCACACTGCACGAAATGCAGCCCCAACCATATATTTAAGTCCAAATTTAGCACTTCCTTCCCAATGCTCCCTGCATGTTTCGGGAGGCCTAAGTTAATTAGTGTTATGTACTTGTGTCCCCAAAGTTCAAATAAAGCTTCTTTTCATATGTTTTTCAATTTGTTTTTATTCAATTACCTTTTTGTTTTGGCGCTGTAAATATTTTTTGAACAATTTTTTTTTTGCTTAAACAAATCACAAAAAAATTAAGCCTCAATATTTCACCACAAAAAGAAAAAAAAAAAGTTTCAGGTAGTTTATATTCTTGACCATGTAATTTTAAAAAAAAAAAAAAAAAAAGTTTCAGGTAGTTTATATTCTTGACCATGTAATTTTATAACAATCACCAAAAAAAGGTTGAGATGAAAAGTTTTTTCTATTATAAAAGTTTTGTGTAATTTAATCTGCTACAAATTGTGTAATTATAATTATTGATAAAAATAATTAACCCTTGAATGTAAGACCTTTCTCTCTCAAAATTAGTTACTAATTTGTTGCAAATTAATTCAAATAAGTTTACAAAACAACATTCCCTTTTTTGTCTTATATTAATCTTAATTCAATGAATGAATTTGAGGCCTATAACTTAAGTTTTAAAATTTTATATACTGAAAACATCTTTTGAGCAAAAGAAATGAAAGTCTTGCTTCCAAGAGTGACTGAATAAGGCATGAAAATGAAAAATTAAAAAGGCCAAAAAAAAAAGGTGAAAACAGATGGTAAAGTACAAAAAAGATAAAAAGAAGAAAGAAAAAAAAAGAGGGCATATAATTAGTAGGGTTTCCCTTCCCCGGATGGATGGGGCCCACTAATCGTTTTCTTTTCCATTGGGACCCTCAAAAAAACCAATGTTGACCGGTCAACAGCGCAAGTTTCCCACGTGGCGTCTCTGTGAGCCCTGGAGTCTCTACAGCGTACAGTCTGCAGATTCGTGCGTGCGTTTCGTTCTTCCCCGTCAAATGCGGGGGACAAACTTTTTGCAGCTGTGCAAAAGGAGCAATGGCATGGAACAAATTTTTTATGGGTTACCAACAACGAAGCTATGTTGGTGTGAGTAGAGAAGATTTAATT